AAAAAAAAAAAAGACTATAAAAAAAAAAAAAAAAAAAAAAAGACTGAAGAGAAGGTTGCTATGGTGTCCAGGGATGTTAGCCTATGCTAATACATTACAATACAAGGACAGAGGGAAACAAATGGCTGTAAGCTTTATTTTCCTCTTTAATTCATTTATTTCTTCTATGAGTGACAGAGGCAAAGAGAAACCCTATCAGGATCCCAACACTGTGTGATCCACCAGCAATCCTGGATCACAGGCACTCTGCATCTGGCATATTCAGAAAGGTCTCTGGAAGCAAATCTGGAACTCTCACATAAGGGTCAGCCTCACAAAGCATTACATCTTTTTTTTTTTTTTTTGAGAGGTTTTTGCTATAGGGTGCGTACGCTCACCAGAAAGACAGAGAGAGAGAGAAACAGTAAGCAAGAAATCACCCCCCCGGGGAGATGGCCACGCCACAATCCCTTCTCCTCCATTCTCCTCTTGGGATCTTGGGCACACACGCACATGCACCCGGCGTGAGTTTAAGCTGCCGGGTCCGGGACTCGAACTGCGGTCGACTACATGGGAGTTCAGCAACATAGCCATTACAGTAACTGCTGGTCCCACAGAGCATTGCATCTTACCACTGAGCCACTTTCCAACCCCTTAACTATTTTTAAAGGTAGAAATAACAGGGCTTAGTAAGTGATTAGATATAGAAATTGAAAGAGAGGGAAAAGTTTTGGAACCTATACAATGATATCATTGAATGAGATGGTGAACATAGGGGGAAGAAGCAAGTCTGGGGGAAACAGAGAGAAATGTAAGCTACATTCTAGACAATTTGAGATTGAGGCGCTTTGTTAGACATCAGAGAAGTAAAACCCATCTAACACGCTCCAACTGAAGCTCAGATGATAGAAAAGTGAAGCTTAGAGGCAGAGAATGAAAATAAGAGGCAGAATAGAAATGTGGTTAGAGCCTACGTTTTGGAGAAGAAACACTGAGGGTTCAAGTTCTGATTCCAAGTGTCTACTAATTTTAGGCAAGAAAATTAAATCTCAGTTTTACCTTAAAGTATAAATAATAACAGAATCTACTTCCATAAATTATTGTGACAATTAACTAAACAACACATATAGAAAACAAAAACACCAAGTCAGGATAGTTGATAACGTTTTTGTAGCAAGGGAAAGATAGAAATGAGTTCTAAGAAGGATATGCATGGGTTTCAATTGGTGGTAACTATTTATTTATTTATTTTGACCATAGGCCACGTCAGTCATAGGGGAATAACAGAGAAAGAGAGAGGAAAGTGAGAAAGCACTGCAAAAGGGGGGTGGCCACATCACAATCCCTTTTCCTTCATTCTCCTATGAAATTTTTTGATATCTATGCACACATGCCCAGTGTGTTTTTCAAGCCACCAGGTCCAGACTCATACTGCTCAGTCAACCTGGTGGGATTCACCTGCCTTCACCACTCTGGCACTGGCTGTGCTAGCTCAGTAATTTTTTAAATAAAGCAAAAAAAAAAAAAAAAAAAAAGTGTTAAATATTGCTAAATCCTGACGTTTTCTACTATATGTAGCTTTATTATTTTCCGTATTTTCTTTGTATTTTAGATATATTTTATAGTAACAGGAAGAAGGCGTGTACGGCACATAGTTACTAGCACTCAACAAATGTTATCAACATTAAATGGAATTATTATTATTATATAAAATTTATGAAAGCATCAGACACATAATAGGTATTCCTAAAGCACAGATTGTGTCAGATTTGACCTGGATTTAAATCTTATAATTTCTGTTTCTCTCAGCTTCCCAATTTATAAAATTTGATCATCCTAATAACTACCATTTCACATAGCCACTCAAAGGATTAAATATGCTAATATGTGTGAAGTTCCTGAAAAAGTGTCAGATTTAGACACTCAATTAGTATTTACTTAATCTAAAAAATACAAGGTAGATATAGATTTTTTAAAAAATGTTAAGACCAATTTAGTAAATTTAATATAAAGCTTTTGAATCTGAATTCTAACCTGTTACTCTTTTACAAGGTATATTTTACTAGGTACCCCATAAGTCAAACTATGAAAAGACACACAAAAGTTTCATGCAGCTAAATGCCATGTACATTCTGCTGTAACAGCACTAACACATCTCAATTTTTATGTCCACTTTTATTCATCATACTGATATTTTTTTCACTAGGCATAACTTGAAACCTCAAAGTCATTACCTTATTTAATCCATCTTATTAGGTGGTTGTTATCTCATTCTACAAATGAAGGAACAAGCTCACATAAATTAAGATAGAATCCAGATCTATGTTATTAGTCCAAACATAATACTCATTCCACCTTATGTACCCAAGAAGGACACCTTTACAAAGCACTATGCAATCTGAAAGATTATATTAGGCAGTCTGAGAGAGAAATCCTTATCATCCATCTAAGATAGTGCTATCTTCTTAGCAAGACTAACCTACTCATAGGCAGATTACTTACACATTCTGAAGACTTTCTAGTTCTTACGGATTGATCACTCTGTTGCTGGGGTGAACCAGCCACTTGCTGGGCATTTACAAGGTTGCGGACCAGCTGGGCTGCTAAGAGAAGGTATCAAAGAAAATCAACAGATAAAGAAAGTAGCAAAGAAATGACAATCAATAAATACTCTTCTCATGCAAGAGTCTCAAATCTCTCTGAAACTTTATAAATTTGGACTTTTAAAATTAGTTTGTGTTTGTTTAAGTCATTTTTCAATTCTTTAGAGCACCAAAAAAAAAATAAAAATTCACTGGTTCTAGAAACAAGAAAAAAATGACATAATGCTTTTCTAATGGTGACAACACACTTAAGAAAAAATATTTATGCAAGAAGAATCTTAGTAACTGGAAATCACCATGTCTAAAATATTCTATTTTTCCTTTCAGTAAACTTCTGTTTGGGTTATTATCTAATTCTTAAAATTCTTTGTGAACTACAACAAGAATAGATCTCCCTTTTCCATAAATAGAAAGAACTAGGATTTCTCCTACATGCTTCTAAGAAAAAAGTCTCACATGAATAATGTTATACTGAAAGCAAGAGAAATAAGTATTCTGACTCAAATCCAAAGAATTCTTAGAAGGAGCTGAATACAACAAACTGTAGAGACCTTGATAGTGAACATATCCAACCACTGTTCAAAGTACAATAAAATACAATAAAAGCCATCCTGTATAAAGAAATTGGAGACAGCAGGTGGCATAGTGGTTAAGGTGCTGGACTCCCATATGGCTGACCGACCACGTTTGGAGTCCTAGACCTGGTGGCTTGCTTTCTTACTTTCCTTCTCTGGTAAGCACATGTGCCCTATAGCAAATGAAAAAATAATAATAAATAAACAATTCTTTTTTAAAAAAAAGAAATTATAAAGTCCCAAATCATACAACTTGTTTTAAAATAGAGAGTAATCCTGGTCCTTAGTCATTGATCAACATAAATGACTTATTTCCATCAGAAACTTTTTTTTTTGCCTTTTCTATTTACCTGCCACACTACTATTTCTCTGACGAGCCAGCTTGACTTCTGGGCACTCCCTTCGTACATGTCCTGCATCTCCACATATAAAACATCTGAGATCTCTGGGGTCTCTGAAGTCTCGAGAGTCGTGGACATCTCGGGGGTCAAGAAGATCTCGAGAGTCTTTCTCTTCTTCATTCCCTTCCTTCTCTTCTTCGCTGTCTTTCTTCTTTAGTCTAAACAGTAAACTGCTGATACCAATAATGTGGGGCTAGGGACTTGTAAAATGAGTCAACGAACAAACTAAACTGTACAATAGTCTCATGAGAACATAAGAACATACCCATTATTTCGTCCATCTTTTAAAGGCAAGAGAACTCACATTTGTAACACACAAACTCATGTGGCAGAAACCAGGTATTCTAGTAGTTTATAATACAATATTTTATTTTTAAATTTTTTCTTATCAAATTTTAAACTTCTAATGATCCTTCAGAGTTGGTATTTATTATCTCCATTTTAAAGAAGAAATAGGTTTAGAGAAGGTAGGTGCTCTGCCTAAATTCAATACTCAATAGACAGTAATAATGGAAATTATGAGTTTACTCTGCCTAAAAAGTTCCAGATTCTTATATTCGCCCAGATTTGTTGATCAAGAAGGGAGTTTTTTGGCCTAGTAAAACCAGAATATAGGGAACCAGCAGTTAGCGTAATGGCTATGTCACTGGACTCCCACATAGTCAACCGCGGTTCATGTCCCGGACCCGGTGGCTTAAAACTCACGCCAGGCGCGTGTGCATGCGTGCCCAAGATCCCAAGAGGAGAATGGAGGAGAAGGGATTGCGGCGTGACCATCCCCCCTGGGGGGTGATTTCTCGCTTTCTGTCTCTATGTCTCTCTCTGTGTGTCTGGCGAGCGCACGTGCCCTACAGTGAAAATCTCTCCAAAAAAAAAAAAAAGCAGAATATAGAACTCAGTGGGAATATGACTCATAGATATATTTTAAGGGGTTATTTAGGGTATTTATTATAAAGGTATATCTCACAATATATATCTCAAGAATTCAGTTAATTGTATTTTAATTACAGTATTGGTTTGCAAGACTGTGAGGTCCTCAGCAAGAACCCCTAGTCTTAGTATATTTTTTCCCTTGGATCCTATAGTAGGTGTCAATTAATGCTTCTTTGATTTAAAAATAAAATGGATTAATGAATACATGAACAAAAGAAAGTTAAAAGACATTGTTATACCACAAATAATCCTCACTCTATTATAAATTCAAATCAAATGAACATTTATCTAAGGTCCAATGAACTTTCTCATTTAAACATTTTTGAAAATGATTATATATAATAGCTATAAATTGGGCTTGCACTTAGAGTCCCTGTAATGTTGATACATAACAATTTACTAACCTTTTCCTTTTAGGGCAGTCTTTCATATAGTGGCCTATTTTTCCACACACACGGCAACATCGATCATTGGGAGCCAGTTCTCCATCTGTTAATACCCTGGAATCAAAGAAGTACTCCTAGGGAGAAAATGCAAATTAATTAATTAAAAAAATTTTTTTAGAGGTTTCTGCTATCGGGCAAGTGCACTCACCAGAAAGACAGAGAGAGACAGAGACAAAAAGTGAGAAATCACCCCCCCCTCCCCCAGGGAGGATGGCCACGTCACAATCCCTTCTCCTCCATCCTCCTCCTCTCAGGATCTTGGGGACGCATGCATACGTGCCAGTGTGAGTTTAAGCCACCAGGTCTGGGACTCTAAGCATGGTCGACTACATGGGAGTTCAGCAACACAGCCATTACATCAACTGCTGGTCCCATTTATTTTTTAAATCTATTTAGTTTTAGTATTATTTTATTTAACTTTATTTATTTACTTATTTTATTTCTATCAAAGAAGGACAGAGCAAGATCAAGAGGGAAAGGGTAAAGTGAGAAAGCAAGCTGCCAGGTCCAGGACTCAAACCATGGTTAGCCATATGGGACTCCAGTGCCTTTAACCACCATGCCACCTGCCAGCCGCTATTTATTTATTATTTTTTAAGAGAGATTTTTGCTATAGGGTATATGCACTTGCTGGAGAGACAGAGAGATGGAAAGCAAGAAATCACCCCTTGGGAAGATGGCCATGCCACAATCCCTTTTCCTCCATTCTCCTCTCAGGATTTTAGGTACACATGCGCACATGCCTGGCATGAGTTTTAAGCTGCAGGGTCTGGGACTCGAACCATTATTGACTATATGGGAGTCCAGTGATGTAACCGCTACACATCTGCTGCCCCCAAAATGCAATTTTACTAGGGAATATAAGACACTGTCATACTTTTGAATCTAAATGGAAAGGAGACCAAGATACAAAAGTGTGTGTGTTTATGTGTGTTTAAAAGACAGGTATCAAATATTTCGCTGTAACTTAAACCACGATATGATACTAGGATTCAGAGCCCAGCTCACGGTCTGGTGGTTAAGGCAGCTGGATCTCTCATGGTCAACTGTGTGGTCAACTGTGTGGATTGAGTCCTGGATCCAGTGGCTTGAAACACATGTCGGGTGTATATGCATGTGTGCCCCAAATCCCAAAAGGAGGCCAGTAGGTTGTGTGAAAGTTAATGTACCAGATCCCACATGGCAAACTGTGCAGTTTGAGTCCCACACCTGGAGGCATGAAAATCACACAGGGCAAGTGCGTACACGTGTGCCCATATTCCTGAGAGGAGACTACAGAAGGAATTGTGGTGGGGCCATCCCCCTTGGGAGGTGATTTCTCACACTCCTCATGCCTCTCTGGAGAGTACACACACCTCATAGCCAAAAAAAAAAAAAAAATCCAAAAAGGAGGGTGAAATGGAGGAGAAGGGCTTGCAGTATAACTAAGCTCCAAAGGGGTGGGGGTGGTTTTTCTGTTTTGCCTTTCTTTTTGGCAAGCACATATGCTCTCTGGCAAATTAAAAAAAAAAAAATGAAAGAAGGAAAAAGAAAAGGAAACAGGATTCAGAAACATCATCAACATCAGAGTTCCTAATTGTACTCATTGCTTTACATCTTCATTACTCAAAGTTGGTATAGATGAATGAGCAAACCTCAGTAAACTAGACACTACTTTCATTTTCATCTTATACAGGAAATTTTAACTCTAAAGAGTTCAAGTCACTTGCTCACAGAAAAAGAGCTGGTTAAGTCTCAAATAAAAGTTTTAGAGGTAAGTTTATCTGACTATAAAGCTCCTCTACACCAGCCCACTTCTAGAAAATAATTATTATTATTACTATTATTATTCTGGTGAGGTTTTTGCTATAAGGCGCATGCACTCACCAGACAGACAGAGAGAGACAGAGAGACAGAAAGCGAGACATCACCCCCCCAGGGTGGCCACACCGCAATCCCTTCTCCATTCTCCTCTTGGGGTCTTGGGCACGTACGCACATGCACCCAGCATGAGTTTTAAGCCACGGGGCCCGGAACTCGAACCATGGTCAACTACATGGGAGTCCAGTGACATAGCCATTATGCTAACTTGGTCCCAGAAAAGAATTATTCTCTGTACAAAAGAGCTTTACAAACATAAGGCAATACATTGGTTTATTTCAAATATGACTGGACTTGTATACAATTTTTAAAGAACCTGTAACACATATCATATAAAGTAAAATATACCTAAGGAGAAGGTAATGAACTAACAAATAATTTCCCTTAGTCTTAGAACCAGACTTACCCTTCCAAGCTTTAGCTCAGTTTTATAATGTCAAAAAGACTAGTTGGTCCTAATAGTACTCATACAAATGAACACATTCACTAGCTGTTTTCAAATCTATGTAAAGTCAAGGATAAAACCAAAATAGAGGGGCCAGCAGATGGCATAATGGTTACGTTGCTGGACTCCCATGTAGTGGACCGCGGTTTGAGTACCAGACCCAACAGCTTAAAACTCACACCAGGCGCGTACATGTGCATACCCAATGTCCTGAGAAGAGAATGGAGGAAAAGGAACTGCAGCGTGGCCACCCCTCCTGGGGGGTGATTTCTCGCTTTCTGTCTTTCTCTCTCTGTCTCTCTGATCAGCGCGCAATCCCTATAGCAAAAAACCTCTCTTAAATAAAAGCAGAATAAATATATCCAATAAGATAGCTATATAGAACAAAACAAACAAACAAACAAAACAAGTATTGGTAAGGATGTGAGAAAATAATAACCCACATAATATTGCTGATAAGAATGTAAACCAGCACAGTCACTTAACAAAACAGTTCGGTAGTTTATCAAAAAGTTAAAAATAAATGTATCACAATCATACAATAATTCCACTATCATATATAAATAAAAAGAAATGAAAACATACATATAGACGCATAAAATTCTGTACACTAATATTCACAACATTACTAACAATAGCCGATAAGTAGGAACAACCAAGCTGTCTAATAAATGAATAAATAAAACATGGTATACCCATTCAATGGAATATTATTCAGCCATAAAAAGGAATAGAAAATTGATACGTTATAGCATGGATGAATCTTGAAACTATTCAGTCATCAGAAAAAGTCCTAACGCATTTTTGCATAGAAAACATAGGAAAAAATATGTGATGACTTTTCCCATGACCCAGTATTATGCTAAGTGAAAGAATCCAGTTCCAAAAGGCTATACACTGTATGACTCCTTTTATATGAAATGTTTAGAATAGGCAAATCTAGAGACAAAGAGATTAGTGATTTGGGGACTGTCTGCTAATGAGGACAAGGGTTTCTTTTAGAGAGGACAAAAATGTTCTAAAATTAGATTGTGGTAATGGGCTGTGCAACCTAAACATTTCCTAAATTCCAATGAATTGAACATTATGTGACTTATATCTCAATAAAGATATATTTATAAAAAGGATAAGAGATATACTCCACATTTATTTAAATCAGGTACCTTACCATATTGATAAAGCAATGTAGCTAATTAAAATTTTCATTATCCTATTTTCTGTCAGAACAAAACAAAGGTCTTTCTCAATTCACCCAGTTGCTTGAGGCAGAAACTTAGTAATCATCCTAACTTGTTTTCTTTCATCTATCACTTCTAATTAACTGATAAGTTGCATCCATTCTATTTCTGAATATCTACAGAATCCACTTTTTCTATCCCACCATTCCAACTACAGTGACCTAAAACTGAGGTCAGCAAATCTGTTCTGAAAAGAGTCAGGTAATAAATATTTCAGGTATTGTGGCAAAATTGAAGATGTAATACAGGAATTTATATAATGAGAGAAAGAAAATTTCCACAAAAATTTTTATTGAGGAAATTATTAATAGAGCATAATTTTTTTGCAATACAAGTCTGCTACTGAGAAGAATGGAATTCTTTTGGGGAGGACAGTGCTTAATGAGGGTTCAAAGTCAATGTTCTTTATCACTGAAACTGATGGTATATATTCATCTATAAATACTCATCTGTGATTATATAGTTTTAAGTCTTTTCATTTATTTCCTGTATCAATGAGCAAGAGAAACGGCACCTCCAACAGGGTGTTGATACTACAATTAACCTCCAGCTTCAGCCAACACCTCTTATCCCCAGATCACGAGCACATATGTGCCTAGCGTACCCAGTAATGTCTCCAGACTTGAATAAGGTCCCACCCTCCTGTGGGATTGTCTTGCAAAAAGTGTCATGTTTCTGTTTAACCGTATGGCCCCTTACAATTATATTTTATGTATTTCATCTCTGAAAATGTTTTTAACAGATGAGGTTAAAGATTCAGATAGAGAGAATAAAGAAAGGATTCACAGTGCCTATGGAAGGATTATATTCCTTTAAGGAAAGATATCTGCAGTTGAGGGCAGATTTATATATCTAGTAGCAGGAAGCTGAAGGAATACTTATCTGATACTACCTATTGTATCAGAGAAAAATCATCTACTAAGAGTGAAAAGAGCAGCAGAGAAAGGTGTGACCAAGTACAGAGGGTACTAAATTTTTTTTTTTGGAGAGGTTTTTGCTATAGGGCGCATGTGCTCGCCAGACAGACAGAGAGAGACAGAGAGACAGAAAGCGAGAAATCACCCCCCAGGGGGGATGGCCACGCCACAATCCCTTCTCCTCCATTCTCTTGGGATCTTGGGCACGCACGCACATGCGCCCGGCGTGAGTTTTAAGCCACTGGGTCCGGGACGCGAACCGTGGTTGACTAAATGGGAGTCCAGCAACATAGTCATTACACACTAACTGCTGGTCCCCAAGAGGGTATTAAATTTTGAGTAAAATAAATAAAATGTGAAATAGTTATTATGGAATGGGAGACACAGGTAATCAAATAAATGTCTTAAGAGACCCAGCTGTGGTCCCATGAGCTTAAGATGCCATGCTCCATAGTCATGAGCAGTTAAGGTGTGCTCTACAGGTGTGTTTATGGGTCCAACCTAAAGGACGGGCACAATGACATGTGCCTGTAATACCAGCAGCTTGGGGAGGCTAAAGTAGGACCATAATGAGCTCAATGCCAGCCTAGACAACATAGTGAGATTAAGTCTGAAAAAGAGCGATGGGAACCAGCAGTTGGCGTAATGGCTATGTCGCTGGACTCTCATGTAGTCAACCACAGTTCGCGTCCCAGACCTAGTGGCTTAAAACTCACGCCGGGCGCGTGTGCATGTGTGCGTGCGTGCCCAAGATCCCGAGAGGAGAATGGAAGAGGAGGGACTGCAGCGTGGCCATCCCCCCTGGGGGATGATTTCTCATTTTCTGTCTCTCTGTCTCTCTCTGTCTTTCTGGCGAGTGCACGCGCAAACAAACAAACAAACAAAACCTCTTGAAAAAAAAAAGAGCTATGAGTAGTGGCACACACCTACAGTCCCAGATGGGAGGTTGAAGGCACAAGGACTGCAACATGGCATGACTCTTTTTGTTTTGGCCAGAGAGCTTGTGCACTCACCAGAGAGAAACAAAGAGACAGAGAGAGGGAGGGAAAGAGCACCCCCTAATGTAGTATGGCTACTATAATCCCTTCTCCTCCACCTCCTTCCTTCCAAGATTTTGGGCTTGCATGAACAAGCACTTGGCATGTATCTCAAAACACCAGGTCTAGGACTTGAACTGTGGATTGGCCACGTGGGATCTGGCTGCCTTAACCACCAGGCCACAGTCAGCCTGAAATTGCATTTAAAATAAAAATAGCTTGGGACCACCAGATGGCATAACAGTTATGTTGCTGGACTCCCACGTAGTCCAATGAGGTTCAAGTCCTGGACCCGGTAGCTGAAGGCATGTGTGCTTATGTGCTCAAAATCCCAAGAGAAGAATGAAGGAGAAGGGACAATGGCATGGCCATTCACCCTGGAGGATGATTTCTTGCTTCTGTCTGTCTGTCTGTCTCTCTCTCTGTCTCTCTGGCGAGCACACATGCCTAAAGCAGAAATCTCTCTCTTTTTTTTTTTTGAGAGGTTTTTGCTATAGGGCTTGTGCGCTCGCCAGAGAGACAGAGAGAGAGAGAGAGACAGAAGCAAGAAGAGACAGAGAGATAGAAAGCTAGAAATCACCTCCCAGAGGGGATGGCCACGCCGCAATCCCTTCTCCTCCAGCCTCCTCTCGGGATCTTGGGCACGCACGCACAAGCGCCCGGCATGACTTTTAGCCACTGGGTCCAGGACTCGAACAGCAGTCGACTACGTGGGAGTCTAGCGACATAGCCATTACACTAACTGCTGGTCCCAGCAGAAATCTCTCCTACAAAAATAAAATAAATTAAAATTTAAAAATAAATGAATGAATGAAAGAAAGGAAAAAAAATGTAATAAAGAGCCAGCAGATAATGTGGAGGTTAGGGTGGGTCCCACAAGGCCAATTACACAGTTCAAGTCCCAGACCCGGCAGCTTAAAAACCAAGCCAGGCACATGTACATACATGCCCAAAGTCCTAAGAGAAGAATGGAAGGGAAGGGATTGTGACCTGGCCATCCCCTTGGGGGCTGATTTATCACTAACCACCCTCGGACCCCTGTCTCCCTCGAGCAAGCTCATGTGCCCTATCATAAAATTTAAAAATTAAAAAAAAAAAAAGAAGGTGTTAGCAGATGGCAGAGTGGTTACATCACTAGACTCCCACATGACTGACTGCAGTTTAAGTTCTAGACCCGGTGGCTTGAAAATCACACCAGGTATGTGTACATACTTGTGCAAGATCCCAGGAGAAGAATGGAAGAGAAGGGACTGTGGCCTAAGTCACCTCCCCTCCCCTGGGGTGATTTCTCACTTTCCCTCTATTTCTGCCTCTGTCCAGCAAGTCTAAGACAAAACCTCTTTAAAAACAAAAACCAAAACAAACTAAGAAATGTAATAAAATTGTCAGAGAGCACCAAAAGTCCAGTAGAAGGTAGTGAACATTAATTCAGAGTTATGCTATTTGTGAGCCTAGCTTTAGGGCATTTTTTCCCAAAATAGACAGGGAATCTAAGTTAAATGACAGAAAAATGAATACAGAAGATAGCTGATGAATAAAAAGAAAATGGATCAATATATGAGAAGATCTAATGATGAAGAATAGTTGAAGTGGGAATATTTGAAAGAATGAGAAAAGTAAAAGAAAATATATTTCTCTGTATCCATCATTAGACTAAGAGAATGAAACACATCTATCTTGTATGCTTTAATAATAATCAGTGTATGGCAATAAAATAGGTATGAAGTATAAGCATGAAGGACCATGTACAAGGATATTTCTATAATGTAAGTAACAACTGATAAAACAGGAATGATCTAAATGTCCACCAAAGAAGAACAGCTAAATAAACTAGAAGTCTCTTGGTCTGAAACCGAGAGCTTCTACAGTCTCCTTAGCTATTAGAAAGTAAGTAAAAAACCACAGTAAGTCCAAGAGGAATGTACCACCCAGTTCAGGCAAACAGGAACCTCTCAGTTCCAGGCCTTTTAATTTAGCTTGCCAAGGCTACAATTAGAAAAGCCTCAGCAAATAATAAAGTATTTCTTTTGTTTTGTCTTCTCTGTGTATATTTTCATCAAGATTTCTAGAGATAGAAGAGAATTAGCACCTGGGACCAGCAGTTAGCGTAATGGCTATGTCGCTGGACTCCCATGTAGTGAACTATGGTTCGAGTCCCAGACCCGGTGGCTTGAAGTCACACCAGGCATGTGTGCATGTGTGCCCAAGATCCTGAGAGAACGGAGGAGAAGGGATTGTGACGTGGCCACTTCCCCTGGGGGGTGATTTATCGCTTTCTGACTCTCTCTCTTTCTGGCGAGCACACACGCCCTATAGCAAAAACCTCTCAAGAAAAACAAGAAGAGGGTTAGCACCTCAAATGCAAAATTCAACAATCCCAAGCCTTCACTATTTACTCTCACTCACTCAACAAATGTTTATTTGGTACATTCAATGTTCCAGATACTATGACAGGCATTGTACATACAAAGCTGAATCATAAAGATATGGATACTATCTTCATGGAGTTTATAAGAAGACACTGAATTTAACAGATAGAGTAAACAAATAAAACTTAATATATATCTCATTATGGATTATAATAAGTACAATTTGGAAAATATGGTGTTTACTGATCATCTCTTTGCTTATTCCTTATGTCAATTTAGAAACAGGATTTGGTTTCTTCTACTATTAGAAAAAAGTTCTATAGAAAAAAAGATATAATGTAAACTTACAGCTTCTCTGCCAATGAGTGGATAAAAAGGGGTACCAAAAAGCTTCCTTCCATTTATAAATGCCTTCATGATGAAATTTGTCACTATTAAAAAAAGGAAACAATAATGATGTAGACATTAATGTGTTCGTGTTTTAAAAGCAAGAAAATGCTGTATTTAAAACTTACTTTTTCTAGAAACTCCAGCACCAAGGTTATGATTCAAGTCAAAAGGGTCTAGAAAAAAGACATTTTATTTTTTAAATTAAGAATTCTGTTCACTGTGCCATAAAATATACTTATAGTCTTAAGTACAACCTAAGACTATACATAATCAGACTATACAAAGCCACAAATTACTCTTTTAAAATTATGAATTAAGGGATGGAAACTGAAAAAAAAAACAAGAAGAAGACTCTCCTAAATCATGTGTTTCAGTTTTCCCTTCAATTTCCATGGCCAAATTTTTGTTTTGCTCCTAAATAATGAAAGTTTAAATGATTACCTTCAATAGCAATGCATTTGGATGTCCACTGCTTCTCAAAAGTTGTCAACAGCTTTTTCTGCCGAATGCTAATTACATATTCCTTGAAATCAAACTCTTCAGTATAGAAGCGAAGAAGCCCCAACCAAAGCTCTCCTAATGATTCTGTGTTCTTTCCAAGTGAAGGTAAACGTTTTTTCTAGGAGAAGAGAAGAGAAGATCTATACTATCCAAAATATGTATGACAAATCCAAGTAAAATTATTAAATTATGCAAAACCTAACGTGTATCTAAGAGCATTCTATAACATAAAGACTAATAAAAAGTTACCAGTTCTTCAGTTTTATCAAAGAAAAAGGCATTCCATCCATCAACCATTCTCTGTGGAATCTGTTTTCCATCAAAGATCTGCATAAAACAATTAATTTTAAACTCATTAGATTTTGTTACCCAACCCAATGTCTCTACAATACCCTCACTTCATTTAGGGAATTTAAAGATGTATGGAAAGACCTCTTCCAGAAAAAATACATTAGGAATAATTTCAAGCCAAGTAATTTAACAAATAAAATATGTCTCAAAGTCTAAACTGGGAAGGAGATCTTAAGAGCATCACTTCCTCCAAATAACATTTTACGTCACTTGATAATACCGATTTGACCTATTAAAAGATATCCATTTATTAATCCAAAATTAATAAAGCAAAACTAAAGAAAGGAAAATGAAAATGGCAATTTCATCACAGAACCACAGATGTACAAATGCATAGTATATAACATCCACTGAATGTGCACCCAAAAGTAAATCAGTACACTTATTTTTTTGGGATCTAGTACCCCTTTAAACTTTTTTTTTTTCAATAAAGGTTTTTACCAAAAGGTGCATGCACTCACTGGAGAGACAGAGATAGTGAAAAGGAAAGTGAGAAATCACCCCCCAAGGGGATGGTCATGCTACAATCCCTTCTCCTCCTAGGATTTTGGGCATACATGCACAGCACTCAGTGATTTTTTAAAAAAATAATAATTTTTTTTTTTATTTATTCATTCACATTTTTTAAAATTTCACCAGAGAGAAACACACACACAGACACAGAGAGAGAGAGAAAGTAAGCCACCAGATCCGGGACTGGAACCGTGATGCTTACTCCTCTATTTCTTCTCTCTCTCTCTCTCTCTCTCTCTCTCTCTCTTTTTTAAAAGAGGTTTCTGCCTTAGGGCACATACACTCCCCAGAGAGAGAGAGATGGAGAGAGACAGTGAGAGTGAAAGAGAGAAATCACCTCTAAGGGGAGGATTGGCCATGCTTTAAATCCCTTCTTCTCTATTCCCCTCCCAGGATCTTGGGCATGCACGCATATGCACCTGGTGTGAGTTTTAAGCCACCAGGTCTGGGACTCAAACCACAGTCAGCCATGTGGGAGTCCGACAACATAACCACTACACCATCTGTTGGCCCCACTCTTGTATTTCTTTATCCTGTCAGGATTTGGGGCCCCCACACAAAAAACATGCACCTAGCATGTTTTTTCAAGCCACTGCATCTAAAATTAAAACCATGGTTAGCCATGTAGGATAAAGCTTTCTATGAATAGCATAGAAGAAATGGAATAAGACCCTCCCTTTTTTTAAGTTTAATTATTTTTTCTATGAGAGAGAAAAGACAGGCACCCTCACCAAGGTATTCACACCATCATCCACCCCCTATCCCAGCCTCAGCCAGCCATGATCACAGTCCCATATACACCCTTCATATACAGGGAGACCTCCAGATGCAAACCGGGGAACTTGCTATGGGGCTTCAGCATAGGAGTGTGCTACATTAACACTGTCCCATTGAGGCTGACCTGGGATCTACTACCTTTAACCAGTTAAATATATCAGATAAGGATAAAAAACACACTGGATGCTGATTTTTTTTTAATTAGGTGTCTTTCCCTGACATATTGAAACAAATTATACATTTATTATTATTATTAATTATGAGTAATATTCACAGTCCTATTTTTTTAAAGAGAGCAAGGAGAGAAGGAATGCTATTTTATAGAAGAAAAAGTGTCTCATGACATGATTTTAAGGATACAACTGACCTCCATAAGTAATATTGAGACTTTTTTCACAAAAGGAATTTCAAGAAAAAGATAAATAAAGCAGAAAGGTTCAACAGTTGAGAGGCAACAGACCTCATGTTTAGCCTGGGTCCTGCAGAACAGTGACTCTGGGAAATAAGATAATTCCCATAAGTTCTTAGTTTTCTCAGAGAAATGAGAATACTACGGTAGTTCACAAACTTTTTTTTAATCTATAGATTTCCTAAAACAAAACCTCCTCGGTGAGTAGAAAAACCATACACACCTCTATTTTTTTCTTTCTGATAACTGCCAAAGGGTGTGAGTGCTCACAGAGACAGAGAAAAGAGAAGAAATCACCCCTCTGAGAGACATGATCATGCCACAATCCCTTCTCATTATTCCATCCTATCAGGATTTTGAGTACCACACACACTTGGCCTGTTTTTCAAGCCTCTACAACCAGGATTCAGAGCACAACTGGCCACACATGATTTGGCTCACTTAACCTCTAGGTCATGGGGTCAGTCAACATACCACATCTTTGACCTGCTCTTCCCTCACTGCCTATCACTATCCCCCCCCAACACACACAAGCACACACACACATAGACACAGGCCCTGGAAAAGAGTTAAAAAACATTAGATAAAGTGGTCCCTATAGTCTTTTTCATTTGGAGGACAGTGATTTACAAAATTGACTACATGTCAAGCACCTACCATTTCATTCTCAGGTATAAATTCTTTGTGGGCAAGGAATGTATTTTATTTCTGGAGCCCAAAACTCTACAAGGCAAAGTTTGCAATACAGAATATAGGAGGTGGAAAAATCTTCAAAGAGTTCATAGAAAATGTATATTATAAAAAAACTATGCATGTATTTCAAAAATATTTTGGAACAAGGTAAATACACTTTTTTTTTTTTTAAAGATTTTTTGCCATAAGGATGCGCACACTTGCCAGAGAGAAACAGAGAGATGATGAGAGGCAAAGAGAAATCATCCACTAGGAGGGACGGCCACACCACAATCCCTTCTCCTAAGATTTCGGGAATACACACACAAGCACCTGCGTAATTTTCAAGCCACCAGGTCCAGGACTTGAAATACAGTCAGCCATATGGGAGTCAGCACTTTAATCACCATGCCAACTGCTGGCTGTAACAAACTCATATTTTAATTCCATTTTCTTTCTTTGCTTTTATCTTTTTTGAGAGAAAGAGAGAGAGATCTTTGCGATAGGGCCTGTGTGCTTACCAGAGAGACAGAGAGAGACAGAAAGTGAGAATTCACCCAGCAGGGGGATGACCACACCACAATCCCTTCTCCTCCATTCTCCTCTTGGGATCTTAGGCATGCATGCGCATGTGCCCAACATAAGTTTTAAGCCACCAGGTCTAAGACTTGGGACCAGCAGTTGGCGTAATGGCTATGTTGACCACAGTTTGAGTCCTGGATCTGGTGGTTTAAATTCATGCCAGGCGTGTGTGCATGCATGCCCAAGGTCCAGAGAGGAGAATGGAGGAGAAGGGATTGCAGTGTGGCCATCCCTCCTGGGGTGTTATTCTTGCTTTCTGTCTCTCTCTGACTTTCTGGCAAGTGCACACACCCTATAGCAAAAACCTCTCAAAAAAAAAAAAAAAAAAAAAAGCCACCGAGTCCAGGACTCAAACCACGGTTGACAACATGGGAGTCCAGTGACGTTATCATTACGCCATCTGCTGGTCCCTTAATTCCATTCTCTACAAACTTCCAGAAGTTAGAACTTAATGTATTTCATTCAACATGTTCATTGAATGAGTATATTTATTCTGTAACTTAAATAAAGGTCAATTTTCCAGGGACTTTTATCTTTTCATATAACTTAAACAAATATAATTCCTAAAACTTATCTAGCATAAGTTCTGACATTTCAAAAAAAGAAAACGTGGGACCAGCAGTTAGCATAATGGCTATGTCGCTGGACTTCCACGTGGTCGACCGCAGTTAGAGTCCCGGACCCAGTGGCTTAAACTCACACCGGGCGCGTGTGCCTGCTGTGCCCAGGATCCCGAGAGGAGAATGGAGGAGAAGGGATTGTAGTGTGGCCATCCCCTCTGGGGGGTGATTTCTCACTTTGTATCTCTGTCTGTCTGGCGAGCACACGCGCCCTATAGGAAAAAAAAAAACCTCTCCAGGAAAAGAGAAAACATGACAGCTGGGCGATAACAGATAATAATATCTAATGCAAAACACATGAGTTCCTACCTTCAAAAAAACCCCAAAAAACAAAGGTTTTAGAGGCTGAAGCATATTATTATTATTCTTTTTTAGAGAGAGAGATTTTTGCTATAGGGCACATGCGCTCGCCACAGAGACAGAGACACAGAGACAGAAAGTGAAAAATTACCCCTCGGGGGGATGGCCGTGCCACAATCCCATCTCCTCCATTCTCTTCTCAGGATCTTGGGCACGCACACACACACACACCTGTCATGAGGTTTAAGCTACTGGGTTAGGGACTCGAATCACAGTCGACTACATGGGAGTCCAGCGATGTAACCATTATGCCATCTGCTGGTCCCTGAAATATAATATTTTATTCTTAAGGATTTGGATGCTGTGGCCAGCAGGTGGTGTAGTGATTAAGGCGCTGGACCCTCACATGGTTGACTGTGGTTCAAGTCCCAGACCCGGCAGCTTCAAATTCACACTGGACACATGTGCATGTGTGCCAAAATCCCAAGAGGAGAATGGAGGATAAGGGACTGCAGCATAGCTATTCCCCTAGGGGAAATGGCTTTCTGTCTTTCTGGTGAGTGTACATGCCCTAAGGCAAAAATCTCTTAAAAAAAAAAATTTGGATGCTATTACAAGTATTCTGTGCTTTGTAATACAGATTTATTTATGTACCAAATACTAAAATAAAACAAGCTTTAGACCTTGATTCTTTTAAGAGCATTCTTACTTTTGAGTAACAATCTTGATTAGAACACAACTGTGTTAGCTGGTAACATAACAAGAGGACTTGTGAGTCCTGGAAAGTGTTTAATTAACTCAATTTGCCTATTCTTTTGAACTTTCATGTGTCTGATTCTCCACTGTTTTAGCTCTCAGGAGCACTAAAGCTATCCTCTCTCAGATCCATGCATAATCTCGTATTTTCTTTTTTCTCACTCTCCCGCCACTCTCCTGCAACCCCGTTCTTCCTCTCGCCAATGAACCTCCACTTAGCACTAAGCTCTCTCTAAATCCTCACCAAACAAGTCAACATATTTGTATTAGAAGCGACTCTGAACATTTCTATACTTACTTTCATACTTTATTGTAATATTTAGTATGTACTGCTAAATTTAAGTTGT